GCATGTTTGTGACCGACACTTCAATGTCAATTTGACAAGATTGCTACAATTGACTTGACTCACTTCTTGAGGGTGAGGAAACAACTGCTACGATAATGATACAATAGAATTGTGTGCTTGATGATGGTGTTGTATATTATTATTGTATGACTGTCTTTCTAAGTCTGTATTATTATTACCGATATTGACTGTGTATGTTCAGTTCGAGATATTCATGTGACTTGTATGCTGCACTGCTATTGTGTTTACGATGCGAATGTTCCCTGATGGTATGTACGTCTCTGGCTTTCATGCTGAGTGATTTTCTCTTTCTGAGTGGCAATGGGTGTTACGTTGCAGTAGGCTTTTGTGACTCGACGACACCAACTACCTTTAAGTGCTCTTGCCAAATAGATTGGGACGTAGTTCTTCATTAAAAATATATGCCAGATTTATCTACAAAACCATATTTAGCTTCCTGTTGTCTCTTTGATTTGCGAGGTTGCAATGTTAAATTCTAACTCCCAAGCCTTATACATACCCTCCAATTTCCCGAAATTCTTCTGCGTAAATAGTACCGTGGTCCTAAATTGTATCCACAAGCCGTAAATACCTAACTATTGCTCGTTCCAAATCTCAATCCTAAATGCCAAAACATCAATAAAAACATGGCTGTCTGCCAAGCTCTAATCCCAAATCTTTAAACACACATACACACTACCGGGTTATAGTACACTCGCGCCGCGGTAATAACAACGATGACATGCAGAGCTCATCCCCAGAAATTAACAGTCACGTGGGGCCTATCCGTAGAGCGTCCAGTGTAGAGGATGCTATGACAGGCCAATGGCGCCAGTTCAAGCAGAAACTGGGGCTAGTGGAACGGGTCACCGAAGACGAGGCGGACAGGGGTGTGTGTTGTGTATATCGCTGTATATGTATATGTATATGTGTGTGTATGTATGAGGCAATAATAGATGTAAGAAATTATATACTAAGTGTATATGTATAAGTGTATGTATGTATGTATGGGTGTATGTATGCATGCATGTATACATGTATGTATGTAAGTATATATGCATATAATGTTTGTATGTATGAATGCATGTATGT